TTTTCATTGTAACGATTGAAGTTGTAATGAATACCGCAATGAATACATCAATTTTCGACGCAAACACTATTGTGTTGAGTTTGGAGGATACTGTAGGCAGTATCCTATAGTTGTGTACAAAAGTCTCCCCATACCATCAAGAATATGTATGCTAAAACTTGAAGGATCTGGAATCCCCGCATTTAAATTGTCCAAAAGAGTATCCTCCTCCTTCGTCATTGGGTTCATCTTCAACACATCACACTTGGCTTCTTAATTGTCGGGGTAAAATTTGATGGCATCTTCAACTGTATGCACATGTCCAGGGACCACAATTATATCTGCAACATTTTTATTCTTCTTCTTTTCTTCTGTGTATGGGGTCTTAACGTGTTGTGGCCTCTTCGTAGGTCTTTTGCTTGGGGCCCTAATTTTCTTTGGCGGGCTCTTATTTGTGGCTACTTTCTCTTCTTCCTTTTGCACATCATTCATTAGGTCTTTCACAATCTTATCCATCTACTCAAGCACGTCCTTTGTGGCTATTTTCTCCTCGGCCTGCAAATCCTCTACTCCTTTATTTTCCACATGGTGAAACTCATCTCCAAAATTGTTTCCAACACTTACTTTGTCTTCAAATTGAACTTCCTCCTTAACTTCCTCCTCAACTTTATTCTTCATGGGGTCTTCCTCCTTAACTTTATTCTTATGTACAACTTCCTCCTCAACTTCTTTCCCAAGGTCATCTTCATCCTCTCCCTTATCATAATCCTGTACAAAGCTTGCTCGTGAATGGTGTTCCACCTCAGCTGCCCGTGGCTTCAACTTACTATTTTGTGTAATTTTCTTCTTAATATTTTTCCTTCAGCACCACCGGGTCTATAACATCAGCATTTCTTCCAAAAAGATTCCACTATTCTGTTGAGTCTGCTAATCTCAATCATGAATGCGTTACAATATATACTCTTCTTGTGTTTTGTGGTACAGAGTAATCGTCTGCAAAATTTAGCAGAATTTCTCCAGAACATGAGTTGCTTCTCAATGGGTAGAGCCTCCACCTCATCTTACTTTTCAAAAGAATCATCAATATGCTTTGCAATGATCTGAGATTTGTAAGAGATTAATATAAATTAGGATTTGACATAACATGGAAATTGTTTACAAGTAACATGAAGTGAGTTAGACTTAATAGAAATAGAACTAGACTTAACAAAAAATAAATTAGACTTAACATTAATTAAATTAGATTTATCATGAACGGATATAGACTTAACATGAACTGAAGTTAGACTTAACAGAAATTAAATTGGACTTAACATGATATTAGACTTAACAGGAACTGAAGTTAACAAGAAATTGATTTAGACTTAACATTATTCAAAATTGGACTTAACATGAACTGATATTTAGACTTAACATGAACTAAAATTAGACTTAACATGAATCAAATTGGACTTAACATGATACTTACATAGACTATTGAGTAATTCTTCTTGGCTTCCTCATTCTTCACCTTTCTCTTTGGTCTCTTCCCACTGACAAGGCCTTAAGGCTTACGAGGCATAATTTCTTTCCTCGATACTGGGGGTGGCAATCTTCTACCTTTGAGACTTGAGCCCTCATCAATCCTCCCATGAGGCTTCCTCACTGGGTATTTTGAGAGACAAGGCACAACTTCCACAATAGGCTTCTGAACTAAATTTATTGAAGCTCCTTTTGCCTTTGCCGTAATTGTCCCATTCCTTAAAGAGCCTACTTTCTCACCATCTACTACACAATTTGTCATTGGAGGTCTGAATCTGTCGTTATAGGCATCTCTTTATGTCAGTCATCTCGTAGTAACAAAGCTGTAAAAAATATCATCACCATTTCAACAATTACAAATTGACCATATTCACCTTTAACATTAAAAAAATAGGCTTAACATGAAATAACTTACACATAACATTAAGTGATTTAGGATTAACATGAACTAAATTAGCCATAACATGAATCAAAATAGACTTAACATGGAACTTACGGGTATTAGTGGCTTGCATCCGGGGATATATATATATGTAATCCTTGGCTTCTTCAAGCACTCCAAAGCAACTTTAACGCCTCTAATAATTTTTGTATAAATGAATTGACCCAATGCAACTCTTTTCACCCTCTCAATGCTATCCACTATACTTGAGTAATAGCATAGAGATACCTTCCCTGCTTCTGGAGCACCATATTATCGAGCACTGATAAAGAATTTACAGCAGAACAAAGTCTTGCATATCCTTCTTTTCTTTTGATTCTACAAGACTTTCTAATAGATCTTTAACATATCTTCGAAGGCTAATTGGTGTTTTCCCTTCTTTTCCCTTCCCCCGCTCTTTAGTTTTGAAAGGTTTAGCAAAATATTCCACCAATATTTTGCATTTGGAGTCCCGATTGGTACAAATAATTTTCCCGTCAATTGGAAAAATATGATTATGGACCCTATCTAAGTCAAAGTTAACAATTTTTATTTCCCAGTTTTGCATCATGGATAGAAAATGTTTCATTATCAACATCATAATAGCTCAACACCAGCTCAAGTGTTGGACGATCAAGTGCATGAGTGACAAATAGAATATAGTGCTCAAATATAGATCCACAATATGCATCCCTATGCCACTAACATATCTTTAGGACAAGACGCTTCATAAATTCATAATAAGCCCCAATAATGGCAGTTGGCCTAATTTCTGCAGCATCACTAACTTTTTTCCTGAAAACAAATTCAAATTGTACAAGTTGAATTAGACTTAACATGAACTGATATTAGACTTAACAGAAACTGACATTAGATTTAACATGGACTGGCATTAGACTTAACATGAATCAAATATGACTTAACATGAAATTAGAATTAACATGAACCACAGTTTAGATAACATGGAAATCAGTTTAGATAACACGAACCTCAGTTTAAATTGGATAACATGCAAAGGCGTTAAGTTCTTTAATTAAGAAAAAAAACCTAGCAGTTACTTCTTTTTAGGGTTGGATTCGTTGGAACCATCCTTTGCTGGTCTTCTTTTTTGGCCTCGACCTCGTACTTCATCCCTTCGCATGACCAAAAGGGCCTTCAATGCTTCCTCCGTGCTTTCAATCCCAGATGATTCACGATATTCAGCGTCCCTTCCATTCCCAGATGATTCACGAAGCGCGCCCGATGACTATGATTTGGCTTCATCTTTCTCCTGCCGTCCACCGCGATGAACGACTTCGAAATCGTTAATTAATGCTTCCTTCGACGATATTTTCATAGCAAAAAGTCCTAACCCAAGATTGGAAATCTAGATGGCAGAAATAGAGTTTGGGAATTTTCGGTGGCTCCTCAACAGTAGAAGAGAAAGAGGGAGAGAGAGTACTTGAGTGGGGGAGGAGGAGCAGTTACCAAGTTCGATCAAATCAGAGGGTGGGATTGTAACTTCAACTAGGGTTTTCTCTCTCTTAGCAACTTTGAGGCCTTAACACAAATACACAATGTATTTGGGGCTGAATCACATGGCCCAAAATACAGAAGGTCAGGTCAGATGGACTTCCAATATTTAGGGCATTGACACAATTTTCCCTATTTTCTAATATGACCTCATGGAGGAGCTCTCTTCCACATCTCATTAAACAAGGAAAAAGAATTTAATTAAATTCTAGCAAATTTTGCTATAGGACTAGGAGCTCGGTTTTCTACGGCTGTGTGAAACTTTAATTGATTATATAGAATTTAGCATAACATGCTTGCCCTCAATCAACACCATAGCACTTTATGCTTGACACATCTAGTGGCCATCTGAATAATAACTTTAGAGTCTCTCAGCACCCAAAGTTTACCCGCACGTAACATAGAATATATCAACAAATCCATTCTATTATCCTTTTAGCTGAACAAATGGCGAGATTGGCATCATTCCTTAATTATTTTCTTTCTCTTTCAAAGAATCAAGTTTGCATGATTGTCCCTTTATTAGAGCAAAACTTAACTTAAGCACATCTCGTCCGAGTGACCATCAATCAAACCATCAAATTTGACATTATATGATTCCATAATTATTTTTGAGCCCCTGTCTAACAATATCAGGGTTGCCAATGATAAAATGTGTAGATATCAGTTTCCATCTACGTATCGAAGTCCCATCTACATCCTAAGCATTGAGCCGCCTCTCATATTCTATTTCTTCCACACCTATACTGCTCACCATATTAATTAAAAACTCAATTGATGCAATATGGCTGCCAAAAACGACATCATTCCTTAGCTAGCTTCCGTATAAACAACCCATTATAACATATAAAAACTCTAAAAAAGAGAACAATATTCATGTTCATGATGGTTTAAGAAAATTCAAAAACTCTCCAAAAATATAAGTCAGGACAATTCCACATGGAAATTCTCCAGCAATGCATACTTTCAGAGCAAATCAAATTCAAACAGCCCCAAAACTGGGATTACTAAATATCAACATCACTTAAAAATAGAATAAAAGGAAAAAAATAAAATAAGAACAACACAAATCTGTAAAAGATCAGTTAGACAGGGAGTTCTATGGAAAAGTTACATAATAGAACAAATTTTTACTGTAGACCCAAATGAACTTTTAATTACCAAAATCGACCGTTTTTTTTAATTATCAAAATCGACCCGTTTTATGCCACGTAGGCTTAATCTCGTTTCCTAATTAGTCGGGGTTGCCAACCCCGACTGTTTAGGGCATTACAAATCGGGTTTTAAGGCTTCTAATTGGGGTTTAACAACTTCTAAACAGTCGGGGTTGGCAACCCCGACTAATTAGGAAACGGGATTAAGCCTACGTGGCATAAAACGGGTCGATTTTGGTAATTAAAAAAAAACCGGTCGATTTTGGTAATTAAAAGTTCATTTGGGTCTACAGTCAAAATTTGTTCCTCCATAATATTACGTTACATTATCCCCCTTGAGAAAAAGCCCCGGCTCGCGCTTTCTCATCTCTGAAAATGCTCCTAAACCCTCGCCTGCTCCCTCGTTTCCTCTCAACTTCCCTCTCAATCTCAAAAAACCCTAGAACCACCAAAACCCTAAAATCTCAGCTAGCCATATCAATCCCTCCCCGTCCTCCCCCAATCTCCGACGACCCCCAGATCCAGATCCCCCTCGAGAAGCTCTTCGTCCCCCCCGCCGTCGGCGCTAGGGTTTTGAGAGGCTCTAACATCGTCCTCGGTCCTTACGCTAGAGATGCTCAGGTGACGGCGGCGGAGTTCGTGAAGAGCAGCACGAAGACTGAGGAGTGCCCTGCCGATGGATTGCCGGAGTTTGCGCTCGTTGGGAGGTCGAATGTTGGCAAGTCTTCTCTTCTTAATTCGATCGTGAGGAGGAAGAAGCTTGCGCTTACTTCGAAGAAGCCTGGTCAGTTGGGTTTCAAATGCTTTGTTTGTTTTGTATTTTGTATTGTGAGATCAATAGGATAAAGAGTCATCAATTTTTTCTGGGTTATCTGCATTTTAGTACCCCATAGTTTGGGGAAAGTGTGGAACAAAGTCAGGGCTTTGGGGTATCAAATTGTCAAACTAACATCAATTTGAAAACTTTGCGATATCAAATTGTTATAATAGAACTTTCAGGGTATTAAAGTTAAGAAAGGTGAAACTTTAGGGGCACTAACGTGCAAATAACTAATTTTTGGTTGAAAACCCTTAGATTAGGTCCTTAGGACAAAATTTTGTATTGCATTTTTGGGATCATTGAGAAGATAAGGGGTTTTATCGATGATTATGGGCACTTAGATAATGCCTAACTGATGGAGGATAACCACCTGCAACCATTTATGACAATGAAACAGATACGGAAAGTTGTACAGAAGTTCTGCAGAATCAAATTAACAGGACATAGAATGCAACTTTTGGGGAGAAATTGAACAAGTACTAAAATAAAAAATTGGCTGTCTATTGAAGATCAACTTGGTTTTGTGATAAGAAGGCATGTAATGGAAAATACTCATTAAGCAGTTAATGAGAAGTTCTAGAGATGAAAGGCATCTGCATATAGTTATATTTATCGGGAGAATGCTCTTAATAGTACTGTATATTCACTGTTTTTGACCTTGACAAAATGCAAAGAATGTCCAATTGTATATTGAGACACGAAAGACATGCCCAAAAGAAAACACTTGTGTATCAATCATGCTCATTTTGAAGTCTGCCTGTAACCTTACGTTTAATAGTTGCCATTGCTATTTTCTGATAGCTTATGAGATGTTCTAATCATAATTTGGGATTTCAACTTGTCTACACTTATGGAGTAGCTCCAAAATACTTGCTCTTTTTAAATAATAATAATGTATTACTTTTTGTTAAAATGTTCGAAAGGGTACAATATATTTCTGGGAACTGTATTTAAAGATTCATACTTATTCCTTATCATCTTCTAAAGAGTCCAATTTATTTTTTGGCCATATCGAATCAGCAAGTTGATGTTTTATCTGTGAACAACTAGATAAAAGAAACCTATTTGCTTATTTAAAGGCACATGCTGATAGGTAGGAAAATGTGCAAATTCAAGTGAGATATATACTATTAAAAGCCAATCTTAGCAAATAGCACTAAATGCATAGATTCAGAGGCCACCAGATGATGATGTGCCTGAATTTTTGGTATGGGTATGAATAAAATTATTTAGTCTCATGCAATAGTGTATTCTTACAGCCTTGCTTGGCCTTTTTTTTCTCCTGGGTATGATTTGAACTGTAGTATTGATGTGATTCATTTATAATAATTTTTTCCTTGTCTATAATAAATGATTTCCATGATCTCGTTCCCATATATTGTTGGCTGAAATTGCAGGAAAAACACAGTGCATTAATCACTTTCGGATAAATGATAGCTGGTACCTGGTGGATTTACCTGGATACGGGTCAGTCTGAAACTTAGCTTTAGATATTAGTTGATCTTTATCCTTATTTATATTTTACACAGAGTGCTCGAAGTGAATCTTTATTATTTCTGAAAAGAGAAGAAGAAGAAAGTCTCTTTTTCCTGCATATTTGCTCTATATTGGGTTGCACACAGCTAATCTTTTTAAATAATGATTAAGTATTGTTAGATTACGATCAGCAAGCAAAAAAACATTTTATCTGAATATTAGACTTTAGGATATTGAAGATCTGATTACCATGATAAAACCTATGACTTGAACTATGACGTGTTTATTAACTCGTAAAAGCTGAGTGAATACCTTATCCACCATGAATTACAGTTCCCTAGGAAGTATGGATGGCAACATGAGACACATATGTGACAAAGAGATGTGATATAGTGATTGTTTAAACTATAGGATATGGCGAGGCGATGATATGATCTTGAAACATAATTTAGGCCAGTACATAGCATGGGTTAGTG